AAAAAAACACCTTCGTATTTCTTCTCTTTACATATAAGAACTGTTGATTAATTCACCGAAATCCAGAGAACCTATGATTTTGCCAAACAATATATCAATATTAGAGAAATACTACTACTCATAATTGAAGTCACATTTTAAAGACCATTAAGGGATTTATCCGTTTATTTTTAAGAAGACAGCTATGGCTTAACATAAAATGGATCGATATTGAAAAAATATTAAAAATCATTATCATAAGCCTGCTTTTATATACTTTTATTATTATATATGCGAACCACGTGCACTGGTAGTTAGTCATTTAAAGAACGTTTGCCATTTATGCTTATTGAATGTATTATCAATTAAAAACTTTAAAACGGGTAAAAAGTATTACGATAAAAGTACATAGATATCACTTGTTAATTTGAAGATGATGATGATGCCTTCTTATAACGAAAGAAGAAAGTTATTAGGAAAAGGTAAGTCCTGAAAAAAGCCACATCTTATCTTATCTGAGTGTAAGGGTTCTAATACACAAGACTACCATACCCAAAACTACTCACGAAAGCATTATGTGTGACTGGCCTCAAGCTTTTGTCGTTTGATTACTATAGCCATTGTCATAGGCACAAATTCGGTTTCCTTTTTCATGTAACTCAACTAGGAATATCCTTCGGTGTTGTGGCAACTGGGAAGTGAAAAACTCTTTCATATATGTAACAGACCTCTAGATTACCTTGTTCACAAGTATTCTCTATCTTTATTTGGTGTTCTACCAAGTAGATGAGTTGAATAAAGGCAAAACCTCATCAAGGCTGTTTTAAACGTTTTAAATCCTCAAGCGATGAAACATTAACTTTAGTGAATTACTAAGAACCATTAAAATATTTCATGATATTTTCCAGGGAAAAGAATCCTATAAATTTCTTCCTAGCTGAACGGCTATCTGATTTCAAAATTAGATTCAATTGACAGTCCTAATTAGCATGACAAGATTTCATCGGATGATATATGTGAAAGATGCTCACAAATTTTTATCTGTACAACCAAAGGAAATTGCCTTGACGTAACATGGAAGTCAGGCTTTATTCCGTTCACTGATCACCAGAAATTCAGTACGTTGATCTACTGGATAACTTTTATCCATCATGTGTCTCCGAGTGGTATTGTTACGGGGTTCCCAATTATTCAAGAACCGATTCTTCGGAATGCGTTCTGGGATTCTTTTAAATAAGATCGTTTTTGCTACTTCAAAATACTTGCCGCTATAGGTAAGTTTAAACAGGTAGATATAATTGCAGATAACTAGAGGATGTATCTTATCTAAGATTCTGTGAGTAGCCTTTTTGTTCTGTGCGTGATTGTAGGTTGGCAGTGGGGAAAAGTTTGCAATCATGTGCCTTAGTCGACGGTCACTCTGCGCACTAAAATCATCTTCTTTGAAAAGATTCCAAACAAATACATTCGTAGCAAGGACCTTGACAACCGAAATTCAGATACTCAGCCGAAGCCTAGTATTCGATCCAGCAATATCAAATTCAGTTTGATTATGATAAATCACCGCATTCTGCTTTTTTGAGTCACTTGCAGTCAATAGTTATGTCAAAACATCATCATTCGCGTAAATCGTTCCTGTGCTATATAACATAACAGAAACAAATTTCCTCTCAAATGCAAAATACTTCGTTAATGTCACTCAGACACTATATTCTGCAGGGCTTACCTACCACGAAATAATGTACTATGAAACTCCTGAGTGCATGAGAATTACCACAGATGTTTCTAACAGAATAGGATCTAAATTCTTTCTGTCTACAAGAATCAAGCCAAACAAAAAGGTTTTCAGCAGACAGCCGAATTCTAAAAACAATAACAACAACGGAAACCATTTATTCCAGCCCATAATTTCGAGTTCAGTAAAACAAAACTGCAACGGTATATAAATTGACATTGATGCTCACTTCAATAGCTTTACTGGATACACCCATGCTCAAAACGCTCGCTCACGCATCCACACTAGATCACCATTGGGTATGCCTTATAACGCATTCCGTCGCATCAACTAACAAACTTAGTTCATTTACTCAATCCTTGACGTCCCAGCCATCCTTCAAATTTACCTTCGATTTCTGACCTCGGGTTCGGTTTAGCTTTAGGTATTCACTATCTGAAAAGTGGTACGCACAAATGCGTTGTCAAACTCTGAATATCCGTGATATCTTAAAGATCTAATTACCAACGCTCCCAGATGATGGAATGCCTTGGAAAATTTTTAACAAAGTAAAATAATAAAAGTTCAGTCAAAGAAGACTGAAAAGTAACGAACTGTCTCTAGTCAAGTCCTGGAAAGTAGTTAACACACAAAAACGGTATATGAAAAATTCCAAAAAGAATGGCAATCTTATCGAACACAACACTTTGGAGGGATTTTCAAAGCACTCATTCTGTTACAGAGATGATAATATGCTATTGTGAAATCTCATTTACTGATTTTTAAAGAGTTTATTAAGACGTCAAAATAATGGAGTTTTTTTAAATAATCTTCAGATACTATTATTATTATTACTCATATAATCAGTGCAATTATTAGCTGTCGTGGATCGTACGTCAATTATTATCATATTTACCATTATTAAAGCAAATGTTTATAGAAATACTTTGTTAAGAAACATACTGGATTGACTGCATAACTCAACAATTATAGTATTTTTAATTATGGAGTTATGAAGAATATTGTTTACTATTGAAATCTTGAATCAATCATTGTTAGATCACCAGTAGAAACCTACACACACTGGATGGCCATTTCGTCCTGGTATAAGACTCATCAGCAAAGCACATCTACGACTCGCAAGGCTGAAGGTCCTGAATTCAAATCCTGCAAGTGGCCATAGTCGTGGATGCACACTGTTGATGAGTTTTATACCAGGACGAAATGGCCATCCAGTGTTTGTAGGTTTCTAATGGTGGTCTAACAATTATTGATTTATGATCTCAATTATGACATTCTGCGTAAACGATAAGACATACTATGCTCTTCGGTGTAAGGAATTTGTTAAAATCAATGACATTATTCATTTATATCAAAATAATTGTTTTTTGAGGGATTCATTGATTATCAGAGACTATCAAATTAATAGTGTGAATATTTGCACGACAATTATAACCCAATGAATAAGAATTTTCACACATCTCACTGATCTGTAAAATTAATTGGCTTTGTTATCGTGTATACCAAAATAACTTCAACGAACACTTGTATATGTGATGTCATTTTTGTCATGAGTATGTTGATCAACTAATATTTATTTCAGAATGTAAACTAACTTTTGAAACACTTTATCAAATTTGAAGGTACTTTAAGTCATAGAATGATGAAAATTATCATTTCGTTAAACAAGTTAACTACATATTGCACAGTTTTACAATTTGCAAGTAAATACACAGGTACAGTGGCTGAAATTGAAATGATGTAGAAAGGATGGGCATGGTTCTTGTATGATGAATGGTAACATATTAAATTATGAAGCGTTGCATATTGTTAAACAATCAAGTAGATCTGCAACAACGGATCTATCACAGTGATTTCTGTGGTTGTTTTTTTAGATATTATTATTAATATTCTGTGGAAAGCTTTACTTTACAATTAGTCCGCAAATACGAGATGTTCTATACCTTCTACTAGGAAAATACTAATTCTTAATTTCTGTGAAACTCCGCCTGAAGCCCTTCTAGGGTTATTGTTAGTCCCAAGCCCGGAGAAAGGAGGAGGGTCGAGTATGTGTTTAGCGAACCCTATCCGTAGAAATACTACTAGCTAAAGAAATATGCTAACCAGAAGAATAATTTGTTGGTCATCGGTCCATGCTCCATTCGGGGTAACAGAAGTAGGTAAAGCTAGTAAGTAACTTTTGTGGCTTTCACGACAACAATCATTTCAAAATATTGATGATGTTGTGACTATGTCTTGTTCTTTAAGAAATCAAACTTCAGTTGTAACATTTTAATTTGGAACGCTTTCATTGACATCATATTTTTTATAATTTTCGCATCCTTGTGAAAAATGTTCAGTGTCCAATTATCTGTTTGCAGTGTATTATCAAATATTAGTTTAATTTACCGATAGTTTTATATAACAACCATAATAGCAATGTTAAATTATGATTGAGAGGAGAAAAAGTGTAATGCTTTATTCATGTTAAAAAAATACTGTTTCGTTAAATTCTCACTAGGGTGGTTCTACAGTTACGAATTCTAACATTTGAATCAAATACCAAATTAAAGACAAATATATACTGACTATGAATTTGCGATCACAGGGCAAATTAATTTTACTGAAATCATGCATTGATCAATGTTAGGCCACCATTAGAAACCAGGGAGCACTGGATGGTCGTTTTGTTCAAGTATGAAACTCATCAGTCAGCTGTTCATATTCTCGATCCCCTCTCGCGATAATCGAACCAAGGACCTTTAGTCTCTCAGACGAAAGCTTAACCTCTGGACCAGTGAGCTGGAAACCAACGGTGTGTAACGGTGTGTCTAACGTCTGTTAGCTTTCATAATTACTGAAATGACTAGAATATCCAATGTATCCTTGGGTTAGATTGTCAGTGAACTAGTAGTATGTTTACTACAGTAGACCACTTTTTTTTAAAATAACGATAAATTCCTGTTGCATTGTGATAGGATTAAAATAACAATTACATTGTATTGTAAACATCATCTGCTCTGATTATTTCCGATACACATAAATAAGTAAGTATTTTTGATTGTAAATTGCATTAAATGATCGGACATTTTGATTGGTTAAAATAGCATACAGTTGTTATTGTTAACAATACTCAAGATAGAATAATGAAGATAGACATATAAAGTAAGTAAAGCATATACACCTGTCTTCAATTAACATTACCTTTTATGCAAAAAAAAAACAAAACAGAAAGGCGTTGCACCAATAATCATTGTTGTTTTATTCTATCTAATATGACCACTTAAGAAAATATATGCATAAATTATCTAGAATTATTTCACAGTGACGACGTAGCCCAATGGGCGTTTACTATTTGAACAGATATTTTCATATTAAACCTTTGGTTAGTTGACAGAAAATTTCATTTTCCTATTTGGCAAAATTGAATATTGTTGGAATTGCTTTTTGTTGTGTTTGAAACAATAAAATGGATTGTTGTTTTATTGGACTTGAATGAATAATGACAAATCCAACTACTACAACACCTACTACTACAACTACAACTACAACTGCCACTACTATGCTTCCGCCTAAAACTCCTCAATGTCCAATTGTTCCAACGAATTCACATCATTCAAATTTATATCATACGGAAAATTCTCTACCTGATGATGATGAGGATGCATCGATTGTGTTAGATGGTGGTTGTTTAAATGCACAAAATCTTAATGAAGATTCCATGATGATCTTGTCACAATCGATTGATTCTATTCATACTGTGGGTACGAATAATGGAGAAGGAACAGAGGTAATAATCTTCTTTTTTCTATATATTTGTATATATGTACGTCGACTTGTAAACCGAATTGACAATAATGCTGGTATATTTGTTTAAGGAAGTGATAAATTAGTGTTGAACCTATGAAGTGTTGTTAATTTCAAGCATTTTCGAACTGGGCTATCAAGTTACATGTAAGAGAAGAAGTAATGGAGATTGTTGAAACAGATAATTTGACTGACTAGCTTAGTAGAGATTGTTGAGTAAAACGATTAAGTAAATCTTTAATTAATATGGATAGTTCGAAATTATTTCTACTATTTTTGTACTTTGCCACATTCTCATAAGTGTGAGAATAGTTGACTTAAACACTTATTTATGTGATTTCAAATTGAAGTTTGGTACGAAACGAATATCTTATTGATTGACTCGGGTCTGTTGTATAGTTTCTCTTTTTCTCATCAATCTTTTTTCAGAAGCTAGTTAATATCTTTTTTCTGATGTTACACAGAATCCATCACCATTCATCACAAAGCCAATTTAATCTAAATTATATAGTTTTATTCTAAACTTCATTGTTTAATAATATTCTAGTCATATCTATGCTAAATGGTGGCTCAGTGTTAAGGCGTTCGAATCTGTATGTGTGAAACTCTTCTAAACCTAATTCTGTAGTATCACTAACCTTCATAATGTGATCCGAAGCGCAAAAAAGTACACGATATTGTATGCTCTGGGTATCTGTGAGGCAGCGTAAGAGGTTATCTGGAAGTGAAAAGAACAAGAGAAAAAGGGTAGGCCGACAACTCAGTAAACACAGAATACACAATTACATTAAATAGAAAAATCAATCGACAACAACCAAAAATAAAGCCAGCAAGACAAACTGAAGTTGTTAGAGTAAGGTTTAGAATGCGCTACACTAGTATCATATTAGAATTTCTGCATTTTTTCGGTGAAAATTTATTTCTACTGTAAATTTTTAATTCGACACTTTATTCAATTGTCTGCTCTATATGTTGATGTATATATTTATATTTGTAGGCAGTAATTTGTCACCATACTATAATGAAAGTAACTAGTTTTCATTTAAATGTTAAATTAAGGCGAAGCTATTGAAATATTTTACAGCCCACATGTTACTGTTATGTATATATGATACTGAACATCATAATTGTTAGTTTTTTCGTAACTTGTTAGTCAAATTAATTGGAATTTAGTGTTTATGTGGTTCACTTTACATAAATAGAAATCAAATGTGTTATGGTCTGTCAGATATTCTCTGATAATTATATGAAAAAACATTTATTGCTTCAATATTTTGAGGCTCATTCGTTCAGGTGTACTACCTTCAGGTAATTAAGCTGTATATTCCAGCTCTGTATCACTTTCTTTAGTCTAGTCAACTGGGTAAATATCACTAACTATCACATGTGAAGGATGGCTAAAGGTCAAATATACTAATTTATATCAGACTTAGGGTGTTCAGATAGTTAGTTATTTATTGTAAAGTTTACATACAAAAATATACTCATTAAATCTTACTCATTCAGTCACTCATTATGTCATCGTTAGAAGACAAAACATAATTATGTGATTTGTCCACCAAGCTTCAAAACATATAATCGATTTGAAACCAGTGAACTTTTGTGAATTTAGTTACACAGGCTCAACTCTAAGAACTTTATCCTTATAATAGTCTGTTGATTGACATGATTGCGATACGGATAGTAGATAATCAATGCTTATATCAGAATAGACTAAATCTCGTCGATCTGACATCAAATCATGAGCTTATCTACATAGCTAATACCATTGAGAAATCGATCCTTGCAAAAGAAAACATTATTTCTTCAAAAAAATATGTTTATATTCAACCTCTCTCTTTTATTAATGGTCCTTGACTTAGTCATCGCAAATGTAAGTCACACAACATAAAATCATGCCCAAAGACTGTATTCATACCAGTTTACTATTATTATGATTAGTGTTCTCACTAACATCGACATTGTATTGATTTGTAACTCAGTATATCTCTTGCTTAGAAATTCCATGGTTTTGTAAATAATTTAACAATAAGCGTATTTGATGAAAAGTGTTGTAGTGCATTTCTCTGATTTATTTCGTTTGGCTGAGTTTATAATCTTTATTTAAAATTAATAGAACATCTTGAACTTGAGGTCATTTGTGATATAGTAGTATAGACTAACAATTTGGTGTTTGTTCAATGTCATGCCAAATGACACAGAGTAATTATTATTTTTTGATAAGTTGAAGCAAGAAAAAGTCTGTTTCAAAGCTTGTCACAATAAGTTACAATATCAATGTGTGATTTGACCAGTGTATGATGAAAATATAATATTTCAGTTTGAAATAAAATCGTGACATTATTTAGCATTGAACAAGAAGAATAGTTTGAACAAGAACTTTATCATACATTCTATGTTACACATTTCTGAAACCATGAATCGATCAATATTAAACCACCATTAGAAACCTGGAAGCACTGGACGGCCGTTTCGTCCTGGTATGGGATTCCTCAGCATTGGTCCGATGGTTAGGCGTTCGCGCACAATACCGAAAGTCCTGGGTTCGAATGCTGCGAGGTGCAGGAGTCGTGGGTGCGCACTGCTGAGGAGTCCCATACCAGGACGAAACGGCCGTCCAGTGCTTCCAGGTTTCTAATGGTGGTCTAACATCAATCTTCACAACCCCGTAATGCACATTCTATGTTCTCTTACATATTACTAAAGATCCTAGTATGAACCTACTGTTTAACTCCTCAGTATTATACATTCACGATCGCACTAGAGATCAAACCCGAGGTCTTCAAGTCTCGTGATAAGCTTTATACCATTAAGTCGGTATCCAACAGCTTACACAGTATGTTTTCGTGTTGTGAATGACATTCAACAAGGCTTGTTTGACCAGAGCTTACAGCGCTTACTATCAAACATCTTAACAATTATTTTCACTACTAGTCTGCATTTTTTTAAAATATCGACATCGTATATTTTGCAACTCAAACACCATTTACCAGTTTGTCAATAAATGACATTTCGAAATTGTTATTCATGCAAACAATTTAAAGTTTTTTTTGACAGAGTTCTATTCTCTGAACTTGATAGTTGAATCATTCAACTTTCATTGTCTCATCCATCTAGATAACATCGTCAGTACAAATTTTCAGGTGGAAGCAAACTATTCTAATTTCTCTAACAAAATCTTCAACCAAATCTTGTCCAATTCATTTACAAACTATTAAAAATTTTGATTGCATGAAATAAAATTACAAAAAAAAGAAATAAATGAAATTAATTTCATTTATCCGTTACGAAAAAAAAAATCATATTAGACTTGGTACTACAATTGTATGAAAAATATCTGTATTGCATTATTTTACACTTGTGACCATGGTAACCATATATATAAATGGTTACTTTGACAACCGACCAATATTATTCACTTTTATTTCCCATCGTTTATGTGAAGAATGTAAATGTAGCTATAGCGATTGCAAGACACACAGTGAAATGGTTACATAATAAACTATTATTTTTTTTTGTTACGGACTTGATGATGTGTGTGACAGACAGTCAGTCTTTATATAGTAGTCTAAGTAAATTGTATTCATTCAACAAAGTAAAACATTTTTCCGTTGTAAACGAATTCACATATGTATTCCGTGTGTAAACAAGCATGCACACACACACACAGTACTACACAAATAGTATTATCATTATTACTATTAGTAGTGGTAGTGGTAGTAGTAGTAGTAGTATTGCGTGTGCATACCTAACTGTTTGTAGTGCAATGCGCAAATTTTCTCACTTATCATTAACATAAAAATTCACTCGTTTTTCAATGTTGCACACACGTTCATGAATAATGATGCATAAATTAACATCTCACAATTATGTAATGAATAATTAATTGACCCTGTTTCAGTTGTACATTTCATTTCATTTCATTAATGATATGCAACATTTGTACTGATAGATTGTGATGTGCAACTGATACATTCAAACGATGTGTATGTAATAATGTGTGTGTGTATGTGCAACATGTTTAACCGAGTTTCTTAATTGAATAAAGAATTCTTGGACATTGAACTTGTCCTTATTCTTCTTAGAATTAGTTTTTTTGTTTGTTTGTTTGTTTTATTTATTCATGTAAAATGTTAATTAGACTTGAATTTTAAGTATGCTAAATGTCAATAATAATAATAATAATAATTTATGACTGAATTCGTTTAGAGTTAATGTGGATTTATTTACATCAGTTGACTGACTTGTAAATTGAATACTAATTCAATGGGTTCGATGCTCGAAATTGAAATTCATATATTTTATTGGTAAAATAGTGTATATCACATGATCTAACCCAAACTACCAAGTATAGTTTCGTGGACTTGATTTTGTAGATAAATGATACGTACGTGAACACAGTTACAACTATAAAACGATCGATAAGTGTCAGTACCATTGCACAACAAGTTTTCATGCATATTTAAAGTAATAAAATAAATGTGCTAACTAGTGATTAGCTTCTTGAGGAAATTGTCGGCGTTCTAGTGAGACGACGTGACCAGCAGAGTTCAACCCTGTCGGGCAGTAACTACCGAATAAAAATGGGTGATGTAGCGCAGAATCCCTAGACTGGTCAGAGTGAGACATTAACGTCGTTAGGTGCCGCCTCTAGAGTTTAAGCGTTCGCGAGCAAGACCGAAGGTCCTGGGTTCGAATCCCGCAAGCGTCAGTAGTAATGGATGTGCATTGCTGATGAGCCCCATAGCAGGACGCAAATGGCTGCTCAGTGCTTCCGGGTTTCTCATGGTGGTCTAACAATGATTCGTTCATGATAAATTATCAAACTATTGAATCTGTTCCAAGAATTGACTTAAAATTATGGTTAAAGAAACTGCTAGTTCTTAAACGATTCATCAACTTGCTCTTGATCATCAGTGAAATATTTGTTCAGTGGTTAAGATGCCAGATTTTCAGTCATTTAGTTTGGTGATCTGAGAATCC